GTGTGTGTGTGTGTGTGTGTGTGTGTGTGTGTGTGTCTGTGTAGTCTATGCTTTTGTAACCACGTGTCTCCTCATTAACTTTGCATGACTTAACACTTAGCTAATACTTCATTATGAGCTTCCATAACACGTTATAAAGAGTCAAACAAACATTTTCTTATATGCTGTTCATTAATTTTTCATTGATTGACTTCCACACCCACATTCACCTCGCTGTATCACCCTTATGTGGTTGTGTTAGGTGCTGTGGGACAGCCAGAATGGGCTGAGTTCTTTCCTGACTGTGGTGGTTCTAGTCAGTCACCCATAAATGTGGACACATTGCAAACACTGTATGATCCAACACTAATCCCCGTGCAGCCCCTGGGATACAACCATTATGGGAAGAGGCCATTCACCCTCTACAATAATGGCCATACAGGTAAATTTGTCTTTTGTTACCCATTCAAAATGGTCTCAGAGTTAGACACAGACAGAAACTATGAAACTCTGCCATCCAGTACTTTTCACAATGCACATGGTTTCAAGCAGCTTCATATCATATTTTTATGTTTATAATATAATTATGCCTCATAGTTGCAATTTAGCAAATTCAAGCTATTTTGCAACTATAAGGTATGAAGATATTAAGATTTAGAAAATAAACTTTAGATAAAGTGGCCTGAAAAAGTATTTGGATGCTTAAGTCACACTTAAAAATTCAATGACATTTATACGTTTGAGTGTGACTAAAGTCTATGTCACTGTGCATAAAACTGTGTGACAGCGAAATACTGTTTGCTAAATATGATCCTTTCCTCTTAAACCTCCCACTTGTTTTCTCACACAGTGCAGATGACATTGCCACATTGGATGAACGTGGTTGGGTTGCCATGGCATTATAGTGCTGTACAGCTACACCTGCACTGGGGTAGTGAAGTGGGAGTGGCTACAGGAAGTGAACACACCATTAATGGACAGAGCACTGCAGCAGAGGTGTGTGCTTGTGTTGTGGCATGCATAATGCAATGTTTTTAGTCATTTTTGCAGATTTGTGTGAACAGGGATAATTTTGACAATATTATTGTCTGTATGTGAAACTTTTCGAAAAAGCAAATGAAATCACATTTTTGTATAGTACAATCATTATTGTATAAACTTACCCTGAGAAGCACTGCTTTAAGGCCCAGAGATGAAGTCAGGAGCCGATTCCAATGTTTCAAATGGAGACCTAGTGAGCTCTTCCAAGACAGGATAGGTCCCAGTAAGGAACAGAAATGGAACAGAAAGGTCTCAACAGTCTCGCACCACGCATAACATGTAAGACAAGAATGCCTCCCCAGAGAAACACTTTCAACTAGAATGTGCTCAGCAGCAATTGCTGTCAATAAAAAAGTCAACAGGGCAATGCCTGCAGAAAAACACTCCTGAGGGAACTCCAGCACTGAACCAAGAGTACAGTGGGTCTAATTTGCAAGTCTAGCACCAGAACTCATATAGCTTCTATTTGAGAGCATATAACCTCCCATTGGAGGGTAGTACAATCAACACAATCCAAGATGGGTATAGACCCCATCCTTTTTTGGCACCTGTAAGTGCCGGCTGTAAAAGCCAGACTCTTTTTGAGAAGGAGACAGATTTTTTATGGCTATTCTCTTAAAGGTAAAATAATTTATTTAGCCCAAAACGGTAGCATCTTGAATGCCAAAATCATATTTTATGGTTTGAAGAACCTAGTCTTCATGCTGCAATATGGATAGAGAGGCATCAGGTGCTCTGTAGCTGACAACGGTTAGTTGGCCACTTGAGCCTAAATGAGAAGGCATGGCCACTTGTGTTGTGGGGAGAGTGCCTACAGTTTCTCCAATTGCGACATGAGATATGAGAGGTATAAAGTTGTTTTGTGCCTCTGCATAAACTAGACTGCCTTGGGCAGGGCCCTGAAGTAATTGAACAGTAGGGGGAATCTATTCTACAGGAAGAATAATCAAACTTGGTAAAAGAGAACGAGCATGAACCATGGGGCACCACTCATTGTGACCATATTGTCACGGATTTGTGACACAAGGCACAACTGAACTCTGAAAGCCCGACCCCCCCACCCCGCCCCAGTTCTCCCAATCTGTGCACTCCTAATCGCAGATAACTTAATAGAGCATCGGCCGGATAAAATATCCACCTAAAGAAAACAGATCTGAGGAATGAAGGTGTCACAATTCGCTGGAGAACGGGCACGAGGAGACGTGGAGATTTCACAGAATGAGAGTCTTTTAATGATCCAGTAAGTAGACACAGAGCACAAGTATGATGTTCACAACAAGTAGACCCGGCAGAGGAGAAATGCACAGACAAGA